TATATATATATATATATATATATATATATATATATATATATATATATATATATATATATATATATATATATATATATATATATATATATATATATATATATATATATATATATATTTCATGTAAATCCACAATGAAAACGTGATAGTCTTGAAAATCACACGGAAATGGAAACAACGGAGTACCTCCGTTGTTTCCATTTTCCCGTGTGATTTTTATCAAGATAGATATATATATATATATATATATATATATATATATATATATATATATATATATATATATGCTGATAACCACAAGAAAGAAGAAAACACGAAGTTCCCAAGCGCTTTCTGTGTAATCACATCTTCAGGGGTGAGTACAGACTAAAGAGGAGTACAAAACAAGGTGTATATATACAGAGGAGGGTGAGACCAGGTCCACAATGGTCAGGTATTAGGTAATGACCCTACTAATCTTTAAATAGCACACAACGGTTGGTGGTCAGGTCAGAGGGTAAGGTGACCCAACCTTCTCACCTGGTTACAAATCTTCTTAATTACAAAATTGTCCAGTTTGTATATGCCATTACTCAAATTCATGTTGAATGCTTCGGTATGTTTAATGAGACTAGATTCTATGATGTTCCTACTATCAATTGAATTACAAGGTTATATTGAGGAGGCATTATCCCAGTCAATGCAATGCCTGTTATCCCTCAAATGAACAAACAGAGCATTGGATTCCTGGCCTGTCCTAACACTGTATTTGTGTTGTTTAAGTCTAGTTACAAGATCTTTACCTGTCTGGCCTAAGTAAAACATATTACATTCCTTGCAAGGAACTTTATAAATGCAACCAATTATGTTGTTGGGGGAGTTCTTGATTAACATTTGTTTAACAGTGCATGAGTTTTTAAATGCCACATTGACGTTCCAGGTTTTTAGTTGTAAAGGAATGTGTGAGAAATTTTTGTGAAATGGTAATATTAAGATATTCTTATGGTCATGGGTGGGCTTGGGATCAGTTCTATAAAAAGTTTTCTTAGTTGTGGCACAACTTAACAACTTAGCCCCCTCGATCAAATTCACTGTGGAATTAGAGCAAGACTGTAAATTGCCATTCCTAGACTGTCTGATACACAGAATAGGTAACACTTTTAAGTTCAGTATTTATAGAAAACCAACTAATGTGTGTTCATACATTCATTATTATTCTGCCCACCATAATAGAGTCAAACAGTCAGTATTTTCAACAATGTTTTTGCGTGCTTTGAGAATTTGCAGTCCGGAATTCATTGATGAGGAATACAAATATATATATATAATATTGGCTCAAACCTTAAATACCCTAGATCTTTCATAGACAAATGCCTAAACATTACTAAGAAAACTTTTTATACACAGATTCCCTCATTAGTTTCACCAGTTCCTCCTCAGAGAATGATGGAAGAAGGACAGGGTCATGGACCACGCTGGCAGTCTGGGCCTCATTCTCCCCATTCATACTTCTATCATTCCCGGTCTCACTCTCCTCACTCTCCCTCAAGTCAGCCCTTGCATTATGGGCCTCACTCATACTCACATCAGGCAGGGTTTCTACTTTATGAGAGGAGGCACCAGCTACTGCAGAAGCTCCACTGACACTATCACTGCCATTGTTCACTGGTACACTTATTTGGTAGGCTTTAACCTGCCCTGTGTTGGTTAACGAAGGAAACTCACTGTGGCTGTGAGGCGACCCGGCAGCATTGGAATTGTCGTCACCGAGTGCCACCGCTGTTGTGGGTGGAGGCGGCCTCCCAGGACAACCAGGGCACCAGGCCATCTCACCCTTCACCCCACACCTGAGACACTGCCTTCCGGGTGGGGAGGCCTACCCTCCTTCTTCCTGAGAGGAAGTTGTCTTGTTGGGGCACCTCCTCGTGTTATGCTCTCCTGCGCAGATATCGTAGGTGGCTGGCTTGTGGCAGTACTTAGCCCCGAAGCAGTTCTAGCACACTACAGGGGGAAGAATCCAGTCTGTTATTACTAGGGACGCAATACTCGCTGAAGAAGTAATGTTGCTCAGGAAGTGGTTCCTTCCCATTCCATACAATGATGATCCTATTATGTGGTGCATCACCCCTTGTAAATCCTTCTTGCTCTGTGGACGCCCGGAAGTAGCAAAGCGTCACTGATGGGAATACCCTTGGGGAAGTGGGTGACAAGGTATTCATTCATTCTTTTGGGTTGGACAGGTTCATCTCGCTTTATGAGATGTAGTGAGCCGACCTTTCCAACAATGAAGTGTTGGATAGTAACCGACTCCTCTCAGCCTACATAGACGAAATGGGGGGTGCTACCTGCGATATTCCCCATTCATGGTCCTCAACCACTTAACCTTCATCCAACTAGTTGTGTCCTCAGGAAAGGCAAGGAGCATATATTTAGCTCGGGGAACGATGGGAGTGAAGCACCCATTAGCTCTTCTCTGCTTCTTTCCCACAGTCCTCGTCAGGTTGGTCATCTGACTTTCGTCCTCATTTGCACACAATTTCAGGGTTTCAATTGTTCTCTTTCTTTGTCAACACAACATATATATCTTTTCTCATTCTTAATTTGCTTTATTTTTTTCCATTTCTGTATCTATTTTTGTTCTCCCCCCCCCCCACTCCCCAGATGTGGGTCGGTGACGTGTGCCCGGGTGGGTTAATCACCTTAAACAAAAAAAAGACCAAAAACTAAAATCAGATCATGTTAGTTAATGTTCAAGGAAGGGCTGCGGCGGAACAGTACTCGCCCAACTCCTATCCCAACTGTCACCTGAATGAATATTACATAGACATTCAAGAGAACCAGCAACACAGCCCACAGGTTCATTCAGAACTCATAACATGCACATGCAGGATCACTGGTACACAACACCTACCTCTCACACTGTTGATTCCAGAGGAAAAGTGATATCAGAAAGGGTTGATCTGATATCCAGCTCTATAATCATCACACAAACAGCATGAACAATTCATGAAAATTCTGTTCACACACAGCATTAAAGACTCAAAAATGCTGTTCATATGTACAGTTCTGAACTAAGATGTTGTTCACATTGTTATGCATGGAGTAATGTACAGTGGTGCATTGAGCTGTGCATAGTGAAATATTTTTTGGCATGTTACCCCCATTGTATATACAATTTCGTATGTGTGAGCAGGGCTGGTATTTGATACGCAAAATATTTTTCTGTATGTATGTAGGTATTTTTACAGCTTAATGTGGAAGTTGATTAAGTTTAGTTTTAGGTTTGTAGTTCCCTGGAGTATGGACTACTAAAGTTCCTATGAAGTAATGTCAGTCACGGGCTGGCCTTGGGAGTAGGAGGATGTCTTAGTTTGTCAGTGGTGGATACCTTTTCAAATAGGGATTAGTTGAGTATTATCTATTCCGTGCTGCTCTATTATTATTTATTTTGTGTAAAGTGCAATTAATGGTGATATTACAAAGTAGTTCATGGTTATTTACTGTGCATATATTAGTGGTTTATTAAGGATTATATTTATTCTTGATTTAATTTATCTTATGGAACCTACACACTTATTACGGTAATTTTTTTTATTAAATTTTACTTGATTTTTTTTTTTTTTTTTGTAATGTGTAAAATTCCAAACCTTCACTCCTGAACTGTTGGGATAAAGAGACGGCTGTGATCGAACCTTGGACTAAGTTGTGCTGAGTTGGCAATTTGTTTTTTGTTTTTGTTATGCCATATTTGCTCTCATTAGTAGATTAATCTTTAACGTAATTCAAGTTGGTAAGTTATGGCGTAACAACATATAGTACACATACCGTGAACATGACTCTGCAAGGTTTGCCTGGAGCTGGGGCAGGCTCAGATACATTGAGGAACTATAGGTGTTCCCACGCTAACCTGGCCAATAAACCACGCCCCTCTTCTATAAAAATAGCTGATTGGTTCAAAGAAAATATTCGTGTAGCTGTCTATTTATTTAAACTAAATGTGTTCACAATTGGTAAGCAGACCTGTTATTCTCTAAAATAATGTTAAATATCTGGACTATTAAAATGCAAATGATTTCAAGGCATTAGCACTTCAGAGAAGATGTTAGAAAATTTTTAATATTTATCATAAAAGGTCGAAGTCAAAGATGAAATTCACTGTCCAATGAAGTCTTTCCATTATTTCTTTGTTTTGTACCAAACATAAAGCAAACAAACAAATGATACTGTAGTGGATTTCTCCCCTACAAACGCTGTTTGTCGCTGAGTAGCCGACCCCGCGAATTCCCCAGTGTGTGCCTCGTGGTCTAGGTCAACTAGCGCCGCCATACATCACGGAGGTCAACTATCTACCCACGCCTACCTCCGCTATAAAAGACCTGACCTCGTGGTGACCTGTCTCTTTTCTACCTACACCAACCAGCAAGCAACACCTCCTCCTCCTCCGCCTGCCTGGCGGCCCTCTCTCCCGCCGGCGAGTATGGCGACCCACAAGCTGGTCCTCCTCTGAGCACCCTCACCAACCAGTTCTCTCTACATCACGCTTGTAACCATGCTGCCTTCCCAGCACCAAGCTGCATTGTACATCCAATACAACATGTATACATGAGAGCACAATGTGAGTTTTCTTTCTCCATCCCATCCTGAGTGTGAACACAAACAACCCGTACCCCACAATACCAAGCATAAGCACAATAGGGAATGAACTACAGTTTTAACCTCCGCCCGGGTTCAAATCACGGTTTTGAATTGAGGGCCAAAGCATACCAAGATTAGTAATTACATTACAAATTTACACAAGTCCACCAACAATTAAAAATTATGAGAGATGGACCCTCTGTATCTGTAGCGACCTTGAATATAAGTTTCATATATGACATTGAGTTATTACTTACACTATTTCACAACTATGGTAATAGTAAACATTAAGTTTTATGGTTTAGTCATAATATATCAATTGACGTTATCTTTTATACATTATTTTATACGTACCATGTTTTAATATTTTGACATTCTTACTTGACTTTTGCAATTGTTATCATAAAACGGGAAATGAGTAGAGACGATGTTCTTGAATTACACTTTTAATAAAATATTAATGAAAATAAAAAATTATATTTATATAACAAGAATTCATCATAATGATAATAAAGGTGTGTATAAATTGGTGCTGTTGGAAGTTTAAGTCGTAGTACAAGGATTCTAACACAAGCCAGTTTAGTTTTAACAACACAGTACGGGATTTGAGTTTGTGTTTTAAGAAGTTAGATTGAACCTTATCAACGAGCAATGCTGCCCTGGAATTAAAACACGGTAAGTTGTATTGCTAATTAGCTCGCAAATTGTTTGTTTAAATCACAATGCATCCCGTTATAATAACTTCTTGACCAACTAGGGACAGTTCTGGCACTTAACATTAATAGGGTCCTTATATGTTTTGTGAACTGTACAAGGATTCCTCCCCACTTACATTTATTCTTACCTAATCGTGTGTAGTTTACTAACAAAATCAGTAACGCCCTCTCGTCACCTAAGGCACATCAAAGAAGGCAAGCATAAACTCCCTATTTGGGGGTCCGACTAATTATTTGAATGTAGCCAGAATATATCAAAGTCTCACAGAATAAAACCTTCGATCAGTTACCCAAATGTAGCCGCAATAAAGTCAAATGATGGTCCTACATGAATAAATCGGACTGCCAATCACTTCTCGACTGGTATTTGGTGTCACGAAGTCAAAAAAATTGGTAAACTTAATTTAATCTGAGTTAATAGATCGAGTGCATGTACCTAACCTAACCTAACACAACTCAGATTAAATTAAGTTTACCAATTTTTTGTAACTTTATGACACCAAATAATAATCGAGAAGTGATTCACAGCCCGGTTTATTCTTCTAGGACCATCATTTGACTTCATTGCGGCTACATTTGGGTACATTTTGGTAATTACTCTCTCCCTCGGTACATGCACGCGATCTATTAACTCAGATTAAAGTAAGTTTTCCATTTTTTTTTTACTTCGTGACACCAAATACTAGTCGAGAAGTGATTGGCAGTCCGATTTATTCATGTAGGACCATTATTTGACTTAATTGCGGCTACATTTGGCTACATTTGGGTACATTTGGGGAATTAGTCGGACCGCCTATTGGGTGCTGGAATGGTATTACGCTTTACCCTACACATGGTGTATGGGGGTATTTAATAAACAGTCCTCATGCTGCATGTAGCAAATTTTGAATCTGAAATCTACACCATCTATGTGCTGGTATATACATTCTGAAGCAATGTTAACTTGTTTGATTATTTAATGTATAAATATTAGCATCTATCTCCTTCTGAAAATGGATTGGTATTTCTCTTGAACAGGGTCCTGAGTTAATAGCAACAGCCAAGTACTATTAGTGCTTTTCCGAATGTTTTGACAATTCAAAGACATTTTTCTTCTATCATATTTCTAATACAAAAAAGAAATATAACCTAGCTTAACCTACCCCTTTTTCTTTGTAAAATAACATAGAAAATCACCCAAAACCAACCAAACCTAACCTAACCTTAATTTACGACAAAAATATAATAGAAGAAAAATGTCTTAGAATTGTTTAACATTCGGAAAAAAACATTTCTAACAGTGAGAGATAGAACGGTGCACTAATATAAAATGACCGAAAGAATGGTGCACTATTTTAAATTGACCTACAGCAACTTTAGAAACTTTTTCAAAGAGGATAAAGTAAAGTAAAAGATAATTGCTCTTGGTAGTGCTGTATGGCAGTGTACAGTGGCATTACCCACATGAATCTGACCTATATATAGTGTCAATGAATATGATGCATCTCTTTGTGTACGAACCTCTGTCCTGCATGGCAGTGAACAGTGATATTACCCACATGAATCTGATCTCTATACATATATAGCTGTTAATGAATATGATGTATTTCTGTGTGTATGAACCTCTGTCCTGCTTGGCATTGAGAAGTAATACCACCCTCAGTGTCAAGACCTGACTGAATAACTCAGAATAGGCAAACTGTACTACAAGCTTTGCCAATAAATTTGTTAAACTAAAAAACTAAAACTAAAGCTCTTGGTAATAATTTGCAACAGGATCCCAGATTAACCAGAAACTAAAGAAGTTTCGGTAAGGTATCAGAACACCACTACCACCAGAAGGAGTTGTTTGATTTCGTTCAATTTTCTATACATGTTCACAACCTAACCTAACCTAACTTAATAAAACCTGACCTAACCAACCAAAGAAATGTACCTAATCTTACTCAACTTCCATCATCAACCAGGAGCCTTCTGCATACACACCTCAAAGTAAGTGTACTTTACTGCATTTTTTTTTTTACTTTGTATGTACTTTTCGGTGAGCTGGAACCAATTACCCAATATCCCATTGAAACAATGGATTTGGTTAACAAAATTTTCGGTTAACGAACGACCTTCTGGATCTAATTGTGTTCGTTAACCGAGGGACCACTATATATATATATATATATATATATATATATATATATATATATATATATATATATATATATATATATATATATATATATATATATATATATATATATATATATATATATATATATATATATATATATATATATATATATATATATATATATATATATAACAAAGAAGTCTGTCTGTTTGTTTGTTTGTGTGTGTCTCTCCTCGACTTATGACATATTCGACTTACGACAACGCGGACATACGACGGCCAATGGCCATGGTTGTATAAAATATTTTCACATTACGTATTTTCGAGTCCCGACGTTAGTGATCGCGCTGTGTACTGACAATATTTTCATTTGTAATTCCCTTTAAAATTGCGGGCAAGCTTAAAAGTGAGAGTTCTTGTGGTGCTGAGAAGAAAAAGAGACACCTATTTTAGAATTTCTACGTATTATTTTTGTCTTTTCGACTTATGACCAAATCGACTTATGACCTGGCCGTCGGGACAGAACCTCGTCATAAGTCGAGGAGAGACTGTATGTATATATTTTTTTTATATACACCTTAATGTAAAGTTTATATATATATTTTTTTTTTCAGAATTTCTTATCAGGTTTGAAGATGGAATTACCAGGGTGCCAAAAACATCAGAAGCCCTGAAGAAGTTTGAAGGTTTTTATTACAAATATTTCAAGAAAACATACAAGTTATCAAAGCATTATGGCTGCCACGTGTATTATGAAGCAAGTTGAGGAGCGACATGTTGCAACTGAAATCACAAGATGTGTTTGGTCTCCAAAGATGGATTTAGTAGCCATTGCAAATATCCAAGGTACTGTTTGAGTTAATATGGACATTGTTTTCTAAGAAATATAAGAGGAGACTTCTCTTAATTTCAGCATTTTTCATTGTAATTCCCCTCACAGCATCCAAAATGTAAGAATACTGTACAGTAAGAATACTGAATACAGTACAATGAAAACTTTAATATATGGCATTAACTAGCTGGAAAGCTCTTGCATCCAGACTTTTCAGTATTTTCCAGTGCAGATGCATAATTGTATTGGACACCTAATTGTGTGTTGCAATTCTGTACAGTACAGTATTTAGAATTGTGTAAAGGTATTATCATGAATAGTTACAGAAATGCTGTAATGGTCCTTTGCAACTTTATTATAAGGTCAAACATTATCCAGTAAAATAGCTAAGGGAAACACTCTTGTAAGTGGCCTACTCTTGTACAAAATCGGTTCTGTTGTTTCCACATCAGGGTGCCTTGAAGCCAGTTTCCTGAACCTATCCCAGTGGTGAACATCTTTTAATTCAGAAGAAGACATATGGTCATCACTTTCCCTTTCCTCCTTACCACTGTCTGTTTCTAACATCTCATCCAGTTGTTTCAAGTCTTCAGGAGTAAGTTCCTGCTCATGAGACATCATAAGCCCTTCAACATCATCCTCCTCCACTTCGAGTCCCATTGACTGACCAATGGATGCAATCTCCTGGTCCAACTCCGTTTCTTCCTCAAATCCCTCAAAATCATGGACTGCTGTTGGCCACAGTGCTTTCCATGCAGAATTCAGGGATCGAATGGAGACTTCTTGCCATGCTGACACTATCAATTTTACAGCCTCCAGGATGTTGTATTGTATCTTCCAGAACTGTGACAGTGTTAGATCAGGATCAGTGGAAGTTGCCTGATGACACCTTCTGAACATTTTCTTCATGTACAGCTTCTTGAAGTTGCTGACTACATTTTGGTCCATTGGCTGCATAATTGATGTAGTGTTGGGAGGCAAAAACAACACTTTGACAATGTCAAATCGTGCCTCCAAAGTGCTGGCAAGTTCAGGGTCATGACCAGGAGCATTATCCAGAAGGAGAAGTGCCTTTAAAGGAAGTTTATTGGTGGTTAGGTAACTCGTCACAGAAGGGCAAAACACCTCAACAGCCCATTCATTAAAGAGCTCTCTTGTTACCCATGCCTTACGGTTGGACTTCCAATAAACTCCAAGTTGTTCTCTTACCACCTTTTGTTGCTTGAACACCCTGGGGTTCTCAGAGTGGTAGACAAGCATGGGCTTCAGTTGGAAATCTCCTGAAACTTGGCACCAAGCAATAGAGTGAGACGGTCCTTCATGGGTTTATGCCCGGGTAAAGAGGCTTCATCTCTAGTGATGAATGTCCTTTTGGGCATTTTCTTCCAGAATAGCCTTGTTTCATCTACATTAACACTTGCTCTGGAAGATAATTCTCTTCATCCATCAGTACCTTGAACTCCACTACAAATTTTGCTGCTTTTTCTGCACTGGCAGCTTCACCATGCCTAACAACACTAAAAATGTCGCTTTTTTTCTTAAATTTATCGAACCAGCCCTTAATGGCCCTAAACTCTTCAAAGTCAGTTTCGAAAGAACTAGGTTGATCTTCCTTCAAATGTTTCTATATTTCCCTGGCTCTTTCACAAATAAATTTAGTAGAAATTGAATCTCCTTTCATTTGTTTTTCTTTAATCCAAATAAGAAGTAACCTCTCTGTTTCTGCAATTAATGATCTACCTTTAAACACTGGTAGATTTATCTCTCACTTTCACTTCTTTAAATTTGTCTTTCTGCGCAATAATTGTAGACACAGTTGATGTCGACATGCCATATTCTTTACTTGGTACATTTGTTCTTATGCCTTCTTCTTGTTTCTTAATAATTTCCTGTTTCACTTGCATTGAAATTGCCTTTCTAGATTTCTTTGGATCCATGCTGGATTCAATATAGTAATTTCACCACTAAAATTTTAAGTTCACTAGCTGTAATTAACGATTATTTTATTTAAATCCACACTGCACTGCGCTATATATTATCAATATGTTAAATCATTTTCAGAATGACCAATAATTGTACTGTAAAAATGTAAAAATATTCTGTGTTCAAGAGACCCACAAGCAAGATGTTTCCTCCACTGTGCAGAGATTTAAACAGATGCCTTGGTGGGTGAGTGAAGTGGCTGATGAGTGCACCAAAAACTAGTTCCTGTACTGCATATTATCAGTTATGTTAAATAAATGTTAAATTGACTAATAATTTTAATATAAAACTTGCAAAAATATTAAAGAGCACAACCTTCTTGATATTTACTCCAATGGAAATGAATGTAAGCCTAGAACTGGTTACTGTATTGGCGGACTAGCCTACCAGTCGATGCGCAAGCCAATACATGTTGTCATAAGGTTTTCGTTAATCAAATTTTTGTTTGTTAACCGATTTGAAAATTCTTATGGAAGGTAATTCGTTAACCGAAATTTCGTTAATCGAACCATTCGTTAACCGAAGGACCACTGTATATCATAGCCTAAGTCCTTATGTACATCTATAATCACATGATTTAATAGAAAGGAAGAAATAGAATGACAAAATACAGTCAATGAAATTAAAAAAAAATAAGTCATCAGGTAAATAAAATACTGTATTGTACTGTACTGTAAATTTCAAGTTTAACCCCATTATCTGCGGGCTTTCATAAGTTGGATGTTAGTAAGTTGGGGACCCCTTGTACAGTAATGTACAATACTGCACAACACAGATCATATGTGAAAACAGCAGTGAGCGAGCAAGCAAGCTTCTACAATGGCAGCAGACAATGAACTAAGTGTGTCATGATGCAAGGGTTTGAGGAGATGGCTGCGAGATACTACATCAACCAATCATGGCATCCAATGCAGTCACCTGACAGTAGAAGCCAATTGTAGCCTAGGAGCACTCGCAGCCTACCCACCCACGCGCTTGGCAAGTGTTGATGCCTGATGAAATCTCTGAATTTTATCCAAATGCAGAACGGAGAGATTTTTCCCCGAATTTCTTGGAATGTTAAAACAATAAAATAAATAAATAATCCCGAGTAATGGAGAGCTCTGGGAATCGAATATTCTGGCTATTGGATAGATTACTATACACTACAGTATTTTTATTTTCATCATTCTTAGAAATTGCAAAATTCTATCTGTAAACGCCTTGGTTAAGGACGTTCAGGTGACGGGCAAGTTGAAGGGAATGATTGAAACCCGCCTTTTGACGGGTTCATAATATTACATGGTGATTCATCTGATACATAATTAGCTAGTCTCACACAATTTTATCTTAATTAAAATTTATTAAACATAGTGACATGACACAAAGTTCATAACTCTATTAATCTTAGCTACTCTTCATTCTGCATTGTCTTATTACTTCAGGTTAAGCAGAAACGAGTAGTCGTAATTAGTCAACAATATTTCAGTACCGAGGGGTATGTCATCACTTAGGCTGTACTTACAAGTGCGGGTCAATGCTGATCAGTATGGTGTTCCAAGAGACAACAGTATTGCGTAAATTGTCCTGGCACAAATTCTCGGACAGGATTGTGAGTCGGTGTTCACCAGTGCGAGCAGAGGACTGGTCTTCACAGCGGGGTAGGCAGCACCGCCACCAGTCGAAGACAGTCCACTCAGCAGAACCAGGACTTGTCTGTAAACACTTCTACATCTGGTGAGGTCACAGGTCGAAAGATTTATTGGCATCACACGCCAGCACTGTAGCTGAAGCCAGTGGCGATAACATTATCCTCAGGGGACACATTGATCAGTCAAAGAGTTAATAACATCTTAATATTTCTGACATATTTTATTCGGCTGATAATTTATATTCTTTATTACAGATGAGAATTATACATCGGGTGTCTGTTAGGAATAGTTTTTGTTGTACACAGATATAACTACAATATATTGCAATATTTTTAAATGTTAATACTACAGTAGGGTCGGAATATATCGCAACTTTATAAAAAAAAAATTATATCAAAATTTTCCAATATACTACAGTATAGCGATAAATTCATTTATTTCATGAGGGAAATCGGGCAGGGAATATTTCAAATGTACCTCCATGGCAAACAAATGCGTTATTTGCACACCAGAGGTGCCACCATGGCTTCTCACCCATCATTTAAGGAAAAAACATTGCTTGGGAATTAGTGTATAAAAAATTGTGAGTTTGATTATAAAATGAAATACCCCCCTGTATTCCATATTGATCAACTACTAATAAACAAATACCTGTAGTAGCATTACTGGTTCTACTTATAATGTACAGTACTGTACTGTATTAAGAAGTAAGAAAGCACAAGTAAAATAGTGTCAGAGAAAGTGTCTAGTGCTGTACAGGTGGGAAGTACAGTACACTGCAAATAGTGGCCTCTTGTGGTTCCCTGGGTTTTGTTTTTTAATGAATACAAGGTAGGAACTACAGTAGTTTTAAAAGTGAATAGAAAATTATGCATCTTTATGTAATGTTGAATGAATTGTAAATACTGTACAGTCAACCCTCACTTTACGCGGTTAATATAACCCACAGGGTACCGCGTAAAGTGAACAACATAACATATGGGATTAATTGAAATAGAGACCGGGCCGACCCCCAAACTCCACTTTTTGACGACACACAACTATGTTGTAATAAAAATTTTATCTTAACTTTATGATGGTATGCACAAACAAGTAATATAGAAGAGGTTAGGTTAGGAAAAATAAAGGTTAAGTTAGGAAAAATAAAAGTTAGGTTAGGAAAACTAAAAGTTAGGTTGAACACTTACGTTAGTAGAAGAGATGGGTCGGCGTACGGGGATGGAAGCTGGTTCCGAGGCAGAGGGCAGGCTACTGGCCCTCAGGTGAGTCACCATCACTGTCATCCACACTTGTCAGGGCCTCCCTGACAAATCCCTCAAAGTTATCTTCACTGTCTCTACCTCTGTCACTATCACTGGCTTGGGCTGGCTGTGGTGGGTTGTGGGCGAAGAACTCTGTTATGCTTTGCTGACGGCTGGTGTTTATGTTGTCGTGATAAACCTTGAAGTAGGGCTCCATAGTCTGCAACAGCTGGGTAGTGAAGATTTCATACCTGTTTGTGTCATGGTCGTCGGAAAGGAGGAGCTTGATTTTCTCGACACACTCGATGGCACCCCTAACATTACTATGGGATAAGCGGTGGTCTTCTTGGGATGACGCACCACCTGCCTCTTCACTGACATCATCATCATCTACCATCTCGTCGGTAGTCACATCAGGATCCCTTATCACCTCCAGGATGTCGTCGTTGGTGGTCTCGGAGAAGCCTGCAGCTGTAACACTCTGCGCAGCTTCTCTGGCAAGGTCCACTGCTACTGCAACAGTCTGAACCTCACCAGTCACAGATTGACTCTGCCTTACGCCCGGAATGCCTTGCAACACATGTCTCCATGCGTGACGAACAGTTGCTACAGACAGCTGATCCCATGCCTCCACCAAGAAGTCCACAGCTTTCTTGATGTTAAATATTCTCCAGAATTGTTAAAAAGTATTTTTTGCTCTGCCAACTGTTGATCCTCGTCTTCTTCGCTCTTGCTATCGGTGGTGGTGTCACTCAGGTTACGCAACTCTTCCCTGGTGTTGGTGTAGTCGTTCAGGAGCTGGAATTTTTTTGTTGAGAATGCAGCTTTTACATTACAGATTAACTCTTGGTCCATGGGCTGTAATATAGACGTAGTGTTGGGAGGAAGGAAGACCACTTTTACCTTGCGGTGACGATCTAACAGTAGGGGCGAATGTCCTGGTGCGTTGTCCAGCAGCAACAAAATCTTGAATGGCACATTCTGTTGCTCAGAGAATTTCTTTACATCGGGAACGAAACAGTCATCAAACCAGGAGAGGGACAGTGTAGAGAACATCCACGCCTTACGTGCGGTCAGCCAGTGGACATTTAGCTTGGTCATGTCCATGTTCTTGTAGGCGTGCGGCTTGCGGGCTGTGTGGATCACCGATAACTTGAGCTTACAGGTACCGGAGGCATTGGTGGTAAACAGGATGGTGATGCGCTCCTTCTGCATCTTCCGGCCCCGAATCTTGCTGGCATTCTTCACAACGAAGGTCTTGGAAGGTAGCTTTTTCCAAAAAAGACCAGATTCGTCCATGTTAAGCACCTGGTCGTCGGTGTACTGTCCTTCCTCCATAATCTCACGTTAAAACGGAGGAAATTCCCTAGCCGCAGCACGGTCAGCACTGGCTTCTTCACCACCAATGTTTATATTGGTGATCTTGTTCCGTATCTTAAACCTCTGTAACCACCCAGAGGAAGCATTAAAGGGTTTGGGCTCTGTAATTCCCATCTTTCGTGACACTGCAGCATACAATTCTTGTGTGTACTCCTTAACAGAGTGCGTGTCGACCCCAATGTTCCGTCGCGCCTGACGCACCAAGTAGCTCACAAGTAATTTTTCTGTCTTGAGAAGCACCTGGTTGTGAAAATACTTGATCATAGAAGCACCTGTAGACTTTGTGATCTTCATGTGCTCCTTTATCTTGGCTGCATCCTTCTTTATTGTCCGGATTGTAGATTCGTTCACACCATGCTGGCGCGCCAAATCAACCTGTCTTGTTCCTTTCTCTAACTCTTGGATGATCTTGCACTTCACCTCATAGCTTAAGGAACGTCGTATCTTCTTTGGCTTAGGGCGGCTGGTTTTCTCTCTGGGGGCGGAAGCCATTTTACAGAACAATGGATGCACGATTACACGGTGTGGCCTGGAGGGATGAAACTGCCGCGGCTAGGTCAAGTGTCGTCTTTCCCCCCTCCCTCCCTCCCCCGGGTGGACCCGTCATATTACTTCAAACTAATTACAGCTAGCAGCGGAGGGAGGTAGGGATGCATGGCCAATCACAGTCCGATACGTCATATGACGTCAGTGATAACGCAACAGAGACATGCACTGCGCAACCTTACCGCGCGGCTTGGCCAGGAGGAGGCGGGAGCAGGCGGGTGGGGCGAATCTAAAAATAGCGTCGAGCCGGACACACTCCGCGTAAAGGGGTACACGCACCGCGGAATGTGAGCATCCTGGGTTCCGGCAGGGCACCGCGTAAACGTGGAAACGCGGAATGTGGGACCGCGTAAAGTGAGGGTTGACTGTACTGTACTGTACATTCTTATCCTATAATATAATTTGCATTTGCAATTGGAGTTTTCACTCCTAAAATATAAATTTGTTCATATATTTCTTGATATCATTGACTCATCTTCACTAGATGTGTAATGGAATAGTAGTGGCAGTGTTGGCAGTGTCTTCTTATATTTGGTGTGTGCATTTTTATTTTTTCTTATCTTGAAACAATGACACTGGCAAAAATGAAACTTGGTTTTTTGTTCGGTACATTATAAATTATATAGGTAGTATGATAAGTCCTCTGTCCTCTGAAGAAACTTGTTTAGAATATTCTCCTTAACAATTCAGTTGGGATTATATTTGAGCCATCAGTGACCTTCAATCATCTTTCTAAAGTGGCTAGAATGTTCAAAATATCACTATCATATTGAGATATTAAAATGTTTTTAAATCAACACAGTGAATAGAATGTGTGGCATATGGTGGCTGTCGTCTCTCTGTTTGTCCTTCATATTTTAATTTCCGGGCAGCAAAAAGATTTCGCATCACTCAAGCAAGATAATGGACAAATATCTTGATATTTAGGATAGTTGGCCCAGTTCATGGTTATTAACTGTACTTCCCTAAATGTCAGACCCTTAATACAGTGTATGTGATGTGGTGGCATGATGTTTTTTGATCATTCACCATAATTTATACTGTACTGTTTTTGTTTCAGTTCTGCAACGTAGAGGATGACATCTCGTTTTGTTTATCATATTTTACTTTGGGGAAGTAGCGTCATATTTGAATTATCTTTTCTGTATATTTATTATATTAATCAAGGGTAACTTTGCCAGGTCAAGTTGCAATGCACCGACTGTCATGGCAGCGTGTATGGGTGATTAGCTCACCAGGTGAAAATATTAAGGTCACAGGACTGGCATGGCGCCCTGACAGTAAAGTTCTTGCAATTGGATATTCTACAGGTTTGTATCATCTGCAAAGGTATTTATGGGATTTGATTATATTATTAAGAAAAAGTTGTAAAGAACTTTTTTACTGGTATTTTCTGCCATTGATAGAAACATTTATTTATATTTTTTATTATGATGATGCAGGGTGGCAAGAATCAAATACACACTATCCCTTCATTCTCCTTTCATAACAAAGCCCTATGATATTAAAAAAATAAATATGTTTACAGTAACAGTTCTAATATCAAGCAAATGCTGAAACAGTTACAGTAAGATAAAAGAGAATACTATAATAATGTCAAGTGTGTCTGGGTCATGTGGGGTCTGGGTTAGTGAGAAACAAACCTGCCTCAGTCAGCAACAAGTCAACTTTGTGGTTATGTCTTGTGGTTCTGTTAGCCATTGAACATTGAGTTTATGGCCTGTTTCAGCTGCATTCCCATTTAATCTGTCATTACACATTTACACATAATGTGATGCTGCTGCACTTTTTTATCATAACTTTACATTCCTTGCATTCATAAAATTTTGTTTTATAGTAATATACAGACTAGTGTGTCAGATTAAGTATTATTATATTGGCAAATTGTTACTCAAGTAGAAGTAAAAGTATCCAAATGTCAATAGTATACTCAAATACTGAAAGTAAAATGTAACAACAAAATTATTGTCTCAACGATTAAAATGAATCCACAGTAAATTATAAACAAATAGTTAACTAAAGATAAAAATAAAAGACAGCATTACACACGTTTATCTTGTATTTGCAAATTTTTCCATTAAAATTAATAATTAACTGATTCTCAAAATTATGGCTGTCCAATCAGTATCTTTTAGGCCTAAATAGAAGCCCAGCATGACCTACCAAAAGTGAATACGTTGTGCTGCTCTTCTCCCTACAATCTATAGCAGGGATGGTGAACGGGCTGAAAATATATCCATCCAACACTATGATCACTTTCTTCCTTATCCACACAAATATTGTCGACGTTGACTTATGGTCCACAGACATAATGTTGTCTCTGTTTGCATTAGGTTATGATACAAATCTATCTGGCATGTATCTGAGGTGAAGGATGACCTGCGCTTCTCTTCCTGTGAACTCTAACTGTCCCAACACTATTGTATTGGTTTGACTGTCCCACGGTCAGGGACCTCCTACCACAGGAAGAGTCACTGACCACTATAAGTCACCACCCACTTATTTGTAATAATATGTATTTAATTCTTGTATGCTACCCACTCTTTGGTGGGTGCTAACTCTCATTGTCCTTAAAACATATCAATATTGTCTCCATATCACAAGTCATAGCGTGTCCTGCGAAACACGAGTACCAATGCATTAGTGTCTGGCCGCATAGTCTTGTGACTTGGGTTGTTGCCCCCTGGGGTGTAATTAATTAAATAAACAATATGCCCAGTATGACTAAACAGAAGCTCACAAGCAGCAGATGCAGGTAGTGAGGTGTTAAGCTTCAAAGATAAGTCATATAATGTTGGGAAAGACCTCAGTAGCTCCATTCCAACCCCTGGGTATTCCAAGTAGCTTTCAAGCTCCTTCAGTTGAGGAGTTTGTGGATGATTGTTGCCTCCATAGTGACTGAGTCTGACTAAAACTCACCATGAATTGTCCCTCCAATTGGGGGTGTGGCTGTGGTGACGTCACTTTTCGATTCTAATTGATGAGTGGCTGAATTTTTCGCACCACGAGACCTCTAGGTATGTGACCGTGCGGTGTCTCCCCACACCCATGCTGTACCCTTCATGGCTCCACCTACACAACTCTTTCACTGTGGTTAATAATTAATTTGTTAAAAAATATATTACTACTATAGTTTGCCACAGACATTAAAATTGTTTGTTAGTTTGTGAGCAAGTAATGTGTTTTGTTTTTTTAATTGTATTGGAGTAAAAGTATTAGAAAACCATACTTAAGTAAAAATAAAAGTACTAAAATATTTTAGTACTTTTTAAAAAGTAGTTACAGTAGACCCTTGAGAGTTTGTGATTCGCAATTTCAATGATTTGCGGTAAGCAGATGGTGGCTAGCATGCAAGCCTGTTCCTGCAGCACAACGAGTCACCCCAAGCTGCATCTTGTGTTGTACTTTCAAAACTTTAGTGTTTCTGTGAGAAATGGCCTCTAAAAGACTGCCCAGTGTTAGTGCTTGTGATGCTAGTCGAGTGAAATGTAAAAGGCATAAATCAGTAATGACCCTGACAAAGAATGTTTTATTATTAGGTAAGTTAAAAGAAGGGATGAGTGCTGCGGCTGGTCAGTTATTTGGTATAGGGCTATAGATATACGAGTACAGTAGTGCACTAAAGTAGTGTAAATTGCTATTCGCGGTTTTGCCAATTCGCGCCATTTCTTGGAACCTATCCCTCGTGAATGGCAAGGGTCTACCATACCCAAAAATGTTACTTGAGTAAAGTACAGGGGGTACTCAAGTAAATTTATTTTATTACTTTACAATTCTGGTGAAGATTTTATGGTTATTTATGTTTTTAAAACTTTGATGTATGTTTTTTGAAACATAAATTTGGCACACTTGTCATTGTCACACAGAATGCCTCAATTATCGTGACGTATCTTACAAGTATCCCTTGCTGTACTAACATTTGCTCTTATGAATATTAATCATATGAATACTGTATGCTATTCTTACACCTGTTTCTCACCTTACAGAAGCTTTTCTTGCTTACCTGTATATGAATGGTGGTCTCTGAAGGTTATGTACCAGATTTATATTTTATTAATTTATTTATTTATTAGGCACTAATGTACAGTAGTTAGGTGTTTTTGTGTTTGTTTGTGAACTGATTTTAAGTTTTGGGTATAATGTTGGGGTTTTCTTGTCATTAGGGAGCAGAACCCACTATTTCCTGTATGTTTTGTTATTTGCTAAACAGTACAAATATTCACTTGACAAATGGTTTTCAAGTAACCTTACCCATTCATATAGCAAGGGATACCTGCATTCAAAGCTAATTCTAAAAACACTTTAATTTTTATAGTTTATCATTATTTACAGGAACAGTATTTATTATAGTTATTGTTCTTGAACTTTACCAATTCTCCACTATGTTCTCTTCTACCAGGAACCTCTCTCTCTCTTCACATTAAACTATGGTTTCTATAGTCTTGAGGTTTTCAAGAACATAACCCTCGCAAATCTCTAGGGCCAACTGTATAATGCCTCATTGCATAAAGATATAATTTTGAAAATTGTTTTATGTCGTATGTGAAAGTAATATAAACAGACTTGGAATTTTATGACAGTCATTACTTGCTGACAGATCCTGATACACCTCTAAAGAACCTCTCTTCATGGCCACTGTGATGTGCCCTTCTTCCCTCTTGTACTTATTACACTTTTTATGAATTTCTAGGCCTGTAGTAATGTCATATATAATTTACCAGTCTGTGAAAATTATAAAATAAAATTAATACTTTAAGCAGACAAAGTGTTAAATATCTAATTTTATCCTTATAGGTGAAGTGGTTTTAGTGGATATAGAAGACAGTAATCCTGTACACAAACTGAATGTGAATGCTGAGGTCACAGCCCTCAACTGGGCAGTACATGTACCTGAGGAGCCCCCAAAGAAGGAAACATTATTTGAGGTTCGTATCCTGTACGGAATGAAATTATACGGCAGGGATTTTTCCAAATGTTTTGTTAGGAAGCCCTTGGAGGATTTTAAGAGGCTGGATATCAAGGGGTCTTTGACTATGTCCTGCAGATGATGAGACAAACAGAGGATAAACTACAAAGCTCTGTGCTTCCTCCAACGAGTTTAACAATAGTCCTAGAGGAGACTGTTTACCACAGTCCTAAGTATGTATTAGTATTGTATTATAGGTATGTTTATCATGTTGCATGAATTAATAGTTTGCTGGTGGGGTTGTATCCAGGGCAAGTATTGCCAGCATCATGCCCTAATTTCATGGTTTGCAAACTCAGCACTTTACCAAATGCTGGGGCTGGGAACCTTTCATGACTTACATCAACAAACTCAAAAGTGTAGTGGAACTGCTAGTCTCAGAAAAGGAAGGGGGTTAATGTTCCTTTTTCCTGGAGACTAGGTTAGAAGAGTCTGACAACTTCCTGTTTTTGGGTCAGGATTCAGGATTTGTCTTTCTTGAGGACAGTGACCTTCAAGCCTTGCTTATAGGGCATAATTATGATGTATGATGAGGATAACATTGGGTAATCACTGTACTTCTGCTTCCATAGTGCCATTAAGTGCATGTTCTGATCTTTCTTCTACTTATGATGAAAGCTGGACCTATTCATTTGACAGTTTGAATTTTGTTAATGTGGATGATGCTCTATAAATGTTTTACAAAGGCCAGTTTTTTATGGTGTTTGGATGTGAAGTTATGGTCTATAATGCTGTCTTGTTATATAGTGTTTTCGTTTGTCATTCTAGCAAGAGAACTTCATATGGTGATGCATATCTAGGAGCCATATGTTCTTGATTTCTGGGTCTAGAGTAGACCTTTTAGGCAGATCTGTGTAACCCCTGCCTTAACCCTTTCAGTGCTTTCACTTTGTGAGACACTAGTTGGTAAGAAGCTATTACCATGTAACCAAGTTTTGTTTCTCCTACCAATATTTGGAGTTTTGGAAAATGCTCAGTCATTGTAGGGGGATTAGCATTTATATGATTAAAGGTCCAGCTTTTGTAGGGAAAGTTCTGATCCATAGGCTGGCAGTGAGAAGAATCATTAAACAGATGGCTGTTTCTGGCTCAGCTGACCTATTAAGACTTCTGATGGAATCTGTGGAAGACTTATGCTTTTACCAACAAAGGATTCATTGTATGCTTTGATCCTAGATATTTTCAGGACATCCTGCAAACCCTGGGTATTAGACCCATAGATATTTTCCATTATACTACAGTACTTTAATTACCAGATCCCAGTTTGACTACAAAATGGGATTTCAGGATCAGTCCCTCTTATTCATAGTCAAAAGGAGTACAGTACAGTACTGAGACCTAATTATGGGAAATTCTTAGTGCAGCTAATGTGGAATAGAGAAATCAGAGTAAGATGTTACACTAGTTGTACTATAAAAGGAGTTATGAATGAAATACATGCTTGAATCTTGAGGTGGTGAGTGTACTTGTAGAGAGTATTGAAGGGTAGTTTGTTTAAATAAAGAAAGCATGTTTAATGAATGATGGAAAGACAATATTTGAGTGAAGTGCTTACTGAACCTAGAGTGTGCTTTTGTAAATATGTACTTGAATGGAATTTTCTTGAGGAGGAATTAGTGAAAGCATATTTCATAGGTATTATAAAGTCCCACTTTTTAAGCAATTTGTGGATTTCAAGAACTTTTGAAAATGTAAATTGTGAAAATAATGTAAGTACAGTCCTGTATCCTATAAAATTTTATGTTGCATAGTCATATTGTATGTGTTTCAGGATTCATCAGAGACGTTTCTCCCACCACTTCCCTCACTCTCTAAGACATATACAGGAAGTAGTGGAGAGGACCGTGAGGAAGGATGGCATGAGGGGTGTCTTCTGCGGGATCAGACATCATTGACTCTCCTCACTGTTGCTACATCTGCAGCATCTGTATACATCTATGCCTTTGGACTCTTCCATTGTGCTACTGTAAATCTAGGAGAGTCAGTGCCAGGAGCAGGACAAGTCCTAGATGCTACACCCTCTCATGATCTTCATTTGCTGAGTTGCTTGGTGGAACGAGACCTTGGTGGAGAAAGGGAGGTCGTGCACGTAACAATTGAGACGATGATTCTGGCTTGCCGACATCAGGAACTTCGTGCTCTTGCTTATCGTTATGGTCAGATCTATGGGCTCATGACCTATGCCTCTCACACACTTACCCTTTTAACTGAAGCTTGGGAAAGTATTTTATTGGAATTGGATCATAAGTTAGCAGCTTATGCCAATACTGTTCCTGAAGGTGGTGTGTCTGCAGAATTTCTAGACCTTTTAGTATTTGGCTTGTCTTCAAGAGAATTTGAAATATTTCTCTCAAACCAGCTCACTGAAAAGGGTTTGAAGAAACTGGGTCACTCAATAGAACTTAGTTATTCGAATATTCAGAAGTTAGTTTTACGCAATGTACAAGCAGTGGGACAGGCACTTGTGTATCAGCTAAGTGCACTAGTTGGATTAGCACGACACCATGATCGGTTTGGAATGTTGGGTGTTGAAGAAGACATTGTCACTAATGCTGTAAGGGAAGCAGGAGCATTTGTTCTTAAAGCTGTGGAGCTACAGCAAGTAATTGATGGTGCAATGAGCACCTTTAAAGCTTTTCTCCGGTGGTTGTATGTCGTTGTCCAGCGTGTTCGTGGTGAAGCTGTACCTGACGAGATGAGCCGCATGACTCAACAAGATCTTACCTACATTACTGAGTTTCTCCACGATAGTCTCGAGGACACAGAAACGGGACCAGATGGTGAAAAACGCACAAGATTTCGCCTGGAACGTGTTGGTCAGTACTTGAAAGATGCACCTCTCACATTTGCACCCGAATCTGACCATAACCCATGGGCAATCTTTCTTGCAGAGCATCCTGGAGTTGCTGATCATTCTCTCATCTTTCCACACTACCCAGAGCGTTCTCTTTTGCAAGAACACAAAAATATTGTAAGTGTCCTGGATGATATGGCAGGACAACCAGCAAAGGTTATAAGTGGAGCTGTTAACATTGTTGCTTGGGTTCCATTTATGTCTGTAGCACCAATTGGACCAGTTAGTGTAAGCCAGATAAGCTGTCCACGTGACAATGCCATGTATACAGTTCTACTTCCGGGCCCCAAACAAGCAGTTCTTTATTTAGCACGTTGGCCAACAAGTGCTGAACGTCTTGCACAATCTAGTGCAGGACCAGGACCTGCTCATCATGTGGAAGCAGCTCCTTTTGTATTTTCAAGACTAGAGGGAACACGGGGTTGTTCTATGGAGCAAGCTACATCAACTCCACTGCTTCAGTTAATTGGGGCACAGTTTTACACAGAAGACACATTGTCGGTGTTGGCACAAGATCCTGGTGATCCAAAAGCTTCATTTTTTATACAGTTGTGGATGTTGGCAGCTTGTGGCGAGTTACGGCCTTTGGCCGTGTACGGAGGACGACGCTTAGCTGAAGCTGGCGTCACTCCCCGAGATGCGGGTACACTGGTAGATGCTAGTGGATACCGACGACTTGAGGGTGGCCCACTCTCTTCACTGGCAGTATCTGGTTCTCGTAAGGTTGCTCTCTTGTTGTCAGAGAATAGGAGGCGTGTCAGGTTATTTGAAATGGAGGTGGATGAAGATGATGAGGATGATGATGAAGAAGATACAGCTCAACATGAGTCCATTATTAATGCTTCTGGTGCTTCTGATGATCAAGTTGATAATTTATAAATGAGTGATTTGGGGAAAATAAATCTAATAGATGTTTTTTATTTCATTGGACCATATTATATATGTAATTATATTGAGCTAAAAAAGTTATACTGTATAAATCTAACAAACTGTCTCCAAACTAATTACAGGTACAGTACTGTATGTTGTTTGCCTGATGACACCACATCTTTTAGTTGTCTTATTGTGGAAGATAGCTTGTGCCTTGATAAGAGTTGGACCACCTCTTTACCTGATTACATTATTGAGGGATATTTCTAAGGTTAGCTCTGTTCTTTCTTTCACAGATTCAATATGTAGACTTATACGTAGTCTCTTGACCTGATGTGCTTTTCAGGCATTAGTTAGAAATTGGTGTTCTTTTTATATATAGTACAGTATACAGTATCTTCCTTTTGCTGTTTCACAGCAAATGCTTTTGGTAAGTGTTAACTGAAGGCATTTTCTGTATGTTTATGAACTCAATTTTTTTTCTAAATCTGAAAAGTGACTCTGCCAAATACAAAGCACAACTTAAAGTACTGTATGAGCAAACAAACAGATTCCAAGTCTTGCAGTTTCATGCTGATTGGTCAAATGATACGCTGTTACAATGCTGGTGTTGATTAATATTTTCTTTAAGCTATAAGAGATTTTGCTATCTTAAGCTTTTTGATGATATGCCTCATTAAAAAATAAACAGATTTAAAATAAGTTAAGTATGGTTGGACATGTTTATCACATGTAAATATTAGAAAAATACTGTAGTTAATTATACCAAAACACTTGCTTGTTTTAAATGAAAAAACTACTTGTCCTCAACCGGATATGTCATTGGTGGATTTTTCAGTACAAAATACTGTATGTATTTTACACCAGGGTACATGTTGATGGAGTACAGTCTGACAAGGTAAAAATGGTAGTAATGAGATTTGCACAACATTTAGAAATATTCCGATCATTTTTGGATAAAAGGAACGAACCAGAAAAGAGGACAGTGTTCACATACCTAGATGGTTCATTACTTCTAATGCTCTTCAAAAGTGAGGTGCTTGCTTGCTTGGAGTACAGTACTGTCTGGTCCCGAGATATGCTAGAGATTGTCAGTTGATTGAAAATGTCGAAAGGAAGGCCACCAGACTGGCCTGCACTATAGCACCTCAGTTGCCCATAGAGATTCCTGTAAAATGCCTGCAGTTGCCCACCTCACTAGGGGTCACAGTTTATGGTTGAAAATGCCACAAGTTCAGAAAACTGCCAGGACAAACTTTTAGGGAGCAAGGGTAATCTGCCAGAGAGCATTGTGACAGCACCAAATATGATCTCATTCAAGACCAGACTTGACCAACACTGGCAAGAGGTACAGATACATTTTGGAACTAGTATATGCCCAGTACAGCACTTGCTAACAGTGTGTAACAGAAACATGACTCACCACCCAAGCAGCTAAGGAGTCAATCAATGGGAAAGAGGATAAATAAAAACTAAGAGGGACAATTAGCTGAAGATTGAAATAGATTTAGAGAAGGGAAGAGTAAAAGGAAAGGTTATAGAGTACAGTATTTGGTTCTAGAATTTATATGAGTATGTTTTGTGTTTCGAAAGGGTAAAACACAATAAACTTTTTGACATCTAAGAAAAACATAAGAAACAATAATAGAGATTTTAGAATTTTTAAGAAATCTTTACTGACACCAGGAATGATACTGCTCTTACTGCAGGCAGTGAAGAGGCATTTCAAAAAGCAGTCCGTAGGCAAGTGGGAAAGGTGATTGTGGGCTTTGCTTTAATCAAAGTTAATACTTTATCGATAGGTAATGGTTATTCACATTAGGAATGAGATCTGTGAAGCAATTATGGTAGGCAACAGGAAATTTAAACAGGTAGAAAATTGTATGTATATTAGGGAAGTAACAACATACGTTGTGATGGTATACAGCATGAGAGATAGAAATTAAAACAAATACAGGGAGGTATTGTTGGTACTGTATACTGTACTGCTAACTTGCATACCTCTTCATCATTGTGTCCTGGGCTCAATAACCGGCCTGGGTTGGATTTGAGAAGGGTGATATCCAGTGTGAGCGTACCAAACATAGTAGGTTTTGTAAAGGTACTCCAGTTTCCTCCTATACTGTACTAACACTGGGTAATGATGGTACTTTAGTAACAAATAACAGATCGACCACCCAATCCACTAGTAAGCTGATGAAATTATAAAAAAGACAGCCCTTAAAAAATTTGGGATAGAAGGACACAGATGCCATCTCCCACACATAAGAATATGGCACCTGGATTGGTTGATTGATCTCTCACTATTCAAGACCTCACCTCACACTATAAAACTTAAGATGTTTGTGTTAAGGTGTGTGATGATGATGTTTTAATTTCAGGTTTATCATTTTATCTTTTTCTTAATAGAAGTAAATGGGATTTATCAGTGATTTTAATAGATTAATATGTAGTAAAGGCCCCAGAGCAAATTTTAGATACTGTACTTTGGAATCCTTCTGGGAGACTCACTAACATGCAATAAAATCCTGAGGTATTGTTCTATTCAAAGATAAACTGTCTATAGGTGTGCTAGATTCAGTAGACCTTGTCGGTGAACTTACGGTATGTAGCAAAAATCCTTGAGATGGGCTAATATTTAGTACAGTATGTATCATAAAACTGAGAAGTGGGCTTAATTTGGGAATACAAAAATTCTTAAAATTGATGGATTATGGACATTGAGATACAGTACACAACTCTGCCTGAGTAATAAAAAAAATTTCCCCAAAATTTAAGTGTCTCCAAATGCATTTTCAATTAATGAATTCAGAAGTGTCATGCAACAAAAAAATTTGGGGGCACAGTCAACGAAATTCATTTTGATCAGTGGTAGGAAGTCAATATGATCAGTGGTTTAACTACAGTTGAGGAAGAAGACAAGTCAACAGCATCTGCAAAGTTAATTTATTTGTATGCCAATTTAATGACATCGTGTCACATACACAGATACGTCATAAAATGGTATCAATTCAGAGACCCCAAATTTTTTTGTGGTGACCTTTGTGAACTCTGAGCAATCTGCCAGGAAGTGTTGTGATGGCACCGAGTGTGAGCTCATGCAAGACTAGACTTCACCAACACTGGTGCTGATACAGATACATTTTGGAACCATTACATGCCCAGTACTTGCCAACAGTGCTTAACTGAGATGTGACTGTCCACCCATGTGGCAAATATGATAAAGTATTATGAGAGACTACAGAAGCAAATCATACAATGGAATTAATACAGATCTCCTTCAGCACGATAGGCAAGTATTTGCCTTGTAGTTCGAATCTTAATTGTACCTCTAGTGTCATTCACGTAACTTTCAAAGGGCATCCCTATCTCGCCCTAGGTCTATTAATTGGGTCCTTTCTGATTCAGTTGCTATTACTATAAGGTCACTCGAGCGATCCTGTACCATGGTTGCTCGTATGCGATTCTTCATGGACTTAAGTGCAGTGAAGCTTCTCTGATTTTTACAAGATGTCAATGAAAATGTCAGGACTAGTTTGTATAGCTTTGCAACCTCTGGATAAGCTTGTAGAACATTGATTTTGCAGAGAAACCAATAAATGTCTGAGGTTGCTAGGAGGTGAGATTTCCCTCTATAGCTTGTGAATCAGGAGTTTGTGCTCCTGCTCTGCAAAATCTAGATTCACATCTACATAGAAAGACATGAGCTGTCTCAATGTGCCTGTTTTCCTAACTGTAGCAGTGACAATAATTTTTTGCTAAACCTCACAGTTATGCTTTCAGTGCAGAGATCCAATGTAGCAAAATAGAAATTCACACAAATTTCATCTTCTGCACTTAACATAAGTAAATTTTGCCACATGCAACCCAACCTTTTGGACACTTTTCTGGCTCTCCTTTCTTGGTATTCCACATCAATTTTTTGTGGCAACATTTTCTGTGCTAGTCCTCAGTTTCTGAAACATTTCCTCTGATCCCATATGAACTAACTCAGATTTGCAGTCATCAGCCATTTCAACAGTGACACTAATGTCCATGTCACTTGCCTTGAGGTTTTGGAGATCACACTTGTCACTGATAAAATCTTTCTGACTGTTACTAGACAAAATCAGAAATAAATATGTATTACTTTGCTAACTCCCAATGCTGTTCCAGATGTTTCTTTGTCATATGCATCATCAACCTGAATCTGATGGTCTCAAAAACTGATTCGACTATTAACAGCAAAGCTATGCAGTTGTGTCTTTATTCTTTCTGAGTTCCTCTTGTACTGCAAAAAAGAGGCCATGGCTTTTTGTGGAGTTTCATGATGGTGAACAAAGGTTGAACAACTCCAAAAATTTTATGACAAAGTGTTTTTGCAGCATAGATTCAGTCTATGAGCGTGACAATACACAAAATAGACTGCCACAATTTTTGCGGATAACTATTTGAACACCTTTACTGTATATACACCAGACATAGCTGCACAACCATCATAACCTTGTCCTCTGATACTCTAAATACTGAGTCCATGAAGCTCTAGTGTTTCACAAATGGTTTGCCATCTCGGCTCCAGTTGCATTATTTCCATAAACAACTGATATTAGGTTTTCATGTACAGTGGTCCCTCGGTTAACGAGCGCCTCGGTTAACAAGATTTCGGTTAACGAGTTACCTCCCATAGGATTCTTAAATTCGGTTAACGAGCAACCCCTCGGTTAACGAGTTTCTTACGAGGCGACCTCAACAAGTTTTGGCTTGCACTGGGCGGTCAACCAGCTGTAGTATTAGTCCGCCAATACATTAACCGGTTCTAGGGCTTAAATTCCTTACTATTTTAGTATATATCAAGAAGTTAATACTATTCAATAATTTTAAAAGTTTAATATTAAATTTTTTAGTCATTTTAACAATTATTGAACATAATTGAAGGTAAAGTGACTAGTTTAATGCGCGGCATCCAGCCTCTTAACACAGCAAACAGGTGTTAGTCTCTCTCTGTTTTCACTGGAGGTAACATCTTGCTTGAGACTCTCTTCAACTAAACGCTTTTTTTCTGTG